GCCAACTTAATTGGTGAAACGCGAGTCAAGGAGAGTATTGCAGTTCTGGTAATTGGGAAAAGTGCTTATTTTAAACTTTTTCATAGGCAACGTAATATTGATAGTAAACTACACTTTATAAACTGAAGTGATACAAAAAATACCAAGAATTGTATTGGATGGAATCGACCGATATTTGATGAAAATACATAACAAATTCAAGAAACACTTCGTGACAGTTTTACTACACTTGCTTGGAAGAATATCATGAAGACAGATTTTGAATACCTGAACCCTTGAGGTCGTACTGACTGATTCATTTATTTTATCTATACATGTAAATCAATTCTCAACTGCTTTGTAGAATCTTATGTCCTGTCTACATGTTTACAAACTCAGGCAGGCAGGCACAACTGCTGAGAAAGAACAGAGTTGCTGATATGATTGGCTTTCCGATCTTACTGTACTCCTTTGGAGTAGAGAAGTGGACTCGGGAGGAACTGTATCGACATGACATAAGGATTCGAAAAATGATGCATCTTCATAGGATTTGGCATTCCAAATCTTCCCTTTTACGGTTATGCTTCCTCAACAATGATAGGTACTCGATGAAGCATGCAAAGGTCATCAGAAGTCTGTTTCCGCTTGTCCATATGGTTCGCGACCATGAATGAACAAAAATTGGAGCATTTCTTTCAAGGCAGAAGCCAGAGTGTCCGATGAACCTGATTTAATTTTTGACTCTGAACAAGTTGATCACAACTATGTAACCGAGCTGAAACCCGTTGAGAAAAAGGCCCCAGAGATAACTTCATATATAAGGGATTCGTTTCAGATCTGGTTAGTCTGTTGCTTGGTATTTCCAGTAAACTTGATTTTCTTGTATTATGATTGTTTTTATTCAATGGAGCAAATAATTGATTGATTTTACAAAGATTACCTGCTGGTATATATGAATACAAGGCAAAGTAAAATTTTTTGAGACAGATCTATTCATCTATTCATAGTGCATCTATTCACTATTTGAATATTTCTGATGACTCTGTTAAATCTGTTAAAATCTGTTTTTCCATAAATCAGATTCCCCCTCCTACAAACAGTAACTGTCAACTTGTGCGAGCTAAGGACGAGGTCTTACCTTTTAACGTGTGATTCCTCTTTCTTTTGTTGAACAAACACCCTCTGTACTTCACTCGACAAACTTCAAGCTGTATGATGTATAATATTGTAGGGTGAAATTGTGCATAACAGCATATGAGTGACATATTTCTTCACGATTTCACTGAGTTGGTAGATACAATAGAACATAATCATAACCTTTTGGGAAATAAATGTAAGAAGATTTGTAAGGAAATAGTACTTGTCTGATTTTATTGACTTATATATGAGGTTGAATTTTGTTAATCTCTCCAAGTTGATATCTCTGTCCTGGTTCTGCGTCTGCTCAGTAACAGATCTGTAAAGGCAGTTCGTAGTTGACAGTAGGATGAGGTCGTTCCTAGAATGTTGTGACTTTCAGTATCAGCCACTGGTCTGTTACGTTCCGCATAAGCCTCTTTTGTGTAGTTTGCAATATGTTCAATTTTGTATACAGTCCATCTAGCCTCTCTCTCCAGAGAGATGTGGACAGAAGGTAGATCTAGAAGAATGGCAGCTGAGAGTGTGGGGCTGATGGCATCAGAGAAAGCCTGTCTCTGTACAGTAGAACAAAGCCATTAGCCAACAGCACTTGCTCGATACGCGATCATTGGAAAGTAAGAAAGAAGTGAAATGGTTTCTGCTTGAAGCATTCAACCATAAAACTGTGTGTGATCTGGAAAATGTCCTGATTCTGCTGACCTTTATTGCAATCATATTCTGAACAATATAATACTTTCGATATAATTTACCTGTAATCAATAGTTTTTACTTCTTTCCTCTACTCTGCAAGTGATTGCGTTGGTGAGGTCGAAAACAAGATTTTTTTCGTATGTACTGTCTATACTTGAAAACTGTGAAATGCCTAAACAATTGTGTCACTCAACTTCTGACAGACATCTAATTTTTCAGTAGAAAACGGCGTCTTTTCGAACATTCTGAAAATTAGAAAACTCATCCATATCCTCAAAAAACAAGTTACACTTTTGAGTGCCCATGGTATTATGAGTAGATCCATTGAACAATGTATATTTAGCAAATCCCAGAAAAGTTTTTATTCTGATCGACGACTTAAGACCACAGGTCTTGATTTCGTAGAATATTATATACGTAGGTGAATTGTATGAATACAGAAAAATCGGAAAAATATATTTTGATATCATTCAATTTACCTGCTATATTTTTGATGGCCAAACCCAATCCTTTGCAAGCAATTACAGTTATACTTCCTACTGAACAACTCATGCAGCGTTTTTGTTTGTTCTTCTTTCGGTAAATGAAGAACAAGTATTGTAGATCCTAAGACACGAAGCAAACACCCCATCTGAAAGATAATAGTAATTGAATAATTTTCTTATGGTACAAAATGAAGATGAAAGACTTCATATTCCACGACTCACCTTTTCTATATTATTGAGATTTTCGTTCAGAAACTTGGAAGCTAAGAGAGCTGATACTAAAACACTTAATGCCCCCAGAGGAGTTATTAATGATGCTGGAGCAAACATGTAGGCTGCAAAATTGAACATTTCTCCTAACACAATCGCCTTTGGGTGATAACTGATCTTATTCCTCCGAGATCTGATTATTTATAGGTCAATCAAGTGCTTTCACCTATCCCCTCTTCCCTCTCGACGCTTCATTGGTTTCAGCGGGAGCTGACCGTTTGGCGGGAGTTGGTCGTTTTCCGCTCGATTAGAGATTTCCATATGCTACGTATCTCTACGCTAGCTTGGCTAAACGTGTTGTTGGACAACATATATGCGGCTTCTTTGAATTTTCTCCTTGTGGATGATTTCAGCTTGAGCCCACTTAATGTTATGTTGATGAGTCCAAACATGCTCTGCTATTCCTGATTTGCTAGTTTCTCCTCACTGTGTGTGTTTTTTGTGGTCGGTAATGCGGCCTTTCAATGGCCGCATTACCGAGCGCAATAATTCTCCGCACCGTAGGGTATCCGGTAAATGCAATTCTTGGAATAGCAGTCCTCGTTTGGTGACCTGGTTTTCGTGAGGCTGCTACGGAAGTTTTTCCAGATCTGAAGCAGGTTCTGATGTTATACTTGGACCCAATCCTTCTTATCCTTTCCGACAAACCTCTGATGTAGGGAAATATAAGTACTTACTGGTTGTGGCGGCTTCTCTTCCTTGTGAAGCTCTTGCTGACTTCTAGCTAAAGCCTGTTCCACCATCACTTTGAAGTAACCATTTCGTTTAAGGTCATTTTTGATGCTGCTTAGTTGCTTTTCGAGACCTTCCTTTGTATTATAGAGCCCGAACGCACGGTCTAGTAGAGTCTTGATGATTCCTCTCTTAGTCGATTGATGGTGGTTGGATTCCTGGTTCAGATACTGTCCCGTGTGAGTGGGTTTTCGATATACAGATGTTTCCCATTTAGTGTCGGTCCTATTCACCAATATGTCTAAGAATGGCAATACGTTGTGGACTTCCTTCTCCATTGTGAAAGCACTCGGATGACCTATAAATAGTCAGATCTCGGAGGAATAAGTCCAGTTATCACCCTAAGACGGTTTTGGATACTAACAATCGAAACGTCGTGAAGTAACTTGGTTTGGAATCTTTTAATATTTAATATTCAGCTCGTGTTAATAGTTATTTTTTTTGTTGCTTGTATGTTATTTCATTGTAATTTCAGTTTTTTCTTAATAAAAATGTTATTTTTCAGCTAATCTTTTTAATTTTTTACAGCTCTTTCACGTATTTCAAATCAATTTATATCATATTAGACAATGGAAGTCCGAATTAATGAAATACACCACGATATAAAGAAAACAATACCAAATGAACGTTGGTATTGTTTTCTTTGGTTTTGTAACCGTTTCACAGAAGTTTGAAGTTATCTATATAGGGTGGGGCACCCCGTACGACACGATCCCTGTAAACCAAACCATTAATTTTTTCGGGAATTTCTCCATTTCATTAAATGTATATTGATTGGCGCTGCAGAAGGAAATTATTTTGGAGTCTACAGTGTGGCTCAGAAAAATGTCTACAGTGTGGCTCAGAAAAGTGTGACATATCAAAGTTATGTTTTTGAAGTAAAACTTCTTTACTCGCGCTTGACTTGGAAAGAGCTGGTGAAAAGTGTGATCGGGTGAGACGAACGGAAGTTGGGAGGCAGGTATAAGTTAGTGAAGATAGAAAGAGAGAGAGTTACGTTTCGTATATTACTGTAAGGGCAAGAGAGAGAGAGAGAGTGGTGCGAAAGATGTGAGAAAAAAAAAGATTTGAAGCTTCATAACTATTTATTATATGCGAGCGCTTTCGACAGCTGGTCGTGCTATCATCTTCAAGGCTCTACTCAAACTGAACGTTTCATCCTCTTGTTTGTTCTTTTATGCGGTCAGAACGTCTTTATGCAGGTAATGTAGGTAAATTTGCCTGTATTTGGGTCAAATCAGGTACTATCCTTTGTGTTGGATCTTCTCTAGTTTCTAGGAACGGTATTGTTTTATGTAGTATATTGAATGTTAGGTCTTGTTGTGTTTTGATTTGTATTTGTTCCTTGATAAGTGAATTATGACTGTTAAGTTTATGGATGTTTAAGTTTTCCCAGATGTCCATACGGTTTCCATCTCTTTTGACATGGACCGTTAACATTTGTCTATTTCTAATTCCATACCGATAGCAAGCGTGCACTCTTCCACCACCCTCAAGGACTGATTAAGATCCTTTTCTCCATAGGCATGAAGTTCGAATTCAGTCATATAAAACAAATAGGTGACCTTATGCCATCGATTTCAAGGGGTGTCAGAGATATATCCTTGAATTTTGCTGGGCGAAACGGATAATGGCAAAAGTGAGAAACAAAAAAGAAAGGAACTAAAGGAACCGCCCTTGTACAAATGACTCTCTCTGTTTAGATTTTAGCCAGATCAGTTTCAATTTGACCCTCTCTGGTCATATAGTAGTTCGAATATTTGGTCAACTGCTAAGAGTATTCATGTATACCTATACGGTGCTAGTAGAACGAAATCGGGCATGTTATCGCCATGATAATATGGCGTTGAATTTTCGGTAGTTTTTTTCACCAACAACTATTTGGTTCATCTAGGCCTAAAACCCTCCAGCGATATTCAAACATTATCCGAGGTTAACTCGTTGCGCAGTTCATTGGGCTCAGGCTGATGAAGCTCTCTACACAAGCCATACAGCTAGACTAGGGTTGGAGTATCTAAATGGAAAGGCTGTGGATGTTCATAAATGTTCTTCCAGAAGTATTTTACCTGTTCAGCGATTGATGGGTTATCCAAAACATGCGGAGTCTCTTGAAGGTTTCGCTGGTCGGACCTTATACCTGAAGCCAAGAAATCCAATAATCAAAACAATCATCTTAAAAGAGTGGACTGGATAGAATCTCTTTTCGGACTCTATTCGTCTCACTTGGAGCTGAAAACTGTACGAATGATATTGTATGCTATTAAGTTCGCCAGTTTTATTTTTCCAACGGATTCAATATCCCCTGGAAAATAAGGCAACACCCGTGTTTCGTCGGTACCGTAGAAATGCAGAAGATGGTAATGTATTACTCGTAGTGCCGCGATATGTCGATAAATATAGGCTGAGACCGCATATACTGGACGTGCCGACAGCAAATGCATAAGGGTCTCAAGCACCTCATGGCGGGCTCAACACCTGGTGTTCGAAATCTCTACTCTATGCCCATCACGTGACTATGGTAGAGACTGAGATGTTGAAGATGCCATCCTGACAGACCACGGTGAACCCCTCAGTTTAAGACTTTAGCCCACCCTATCCAAGAAAAGCAAGTCAGCTGTTTTATCATTATTATTATTGATATTATTTTATTTATCATACATCTAAGAAGGGATTGCTGGTCAAGCCGTGTATCCGAAGCTCCGACCCATTCGGAGGGCGTACCGGTATGGCAAAGATTTCTGCCGTTTTGAGATAAGCCGGTATGATCATAAGATTAGAGAGTAGTATATGTATCATTTAACCAAGGACATCTATATTTTGCGGAGTTTGAAAAATTATTTATTGTTATTATTATTTTTTTCCCAAAAGGTAAGCTGGTCAAGCCCTGTCCCCAACAAAGCTCTGAGATAGTCGGGAGGGCGCGCTAGCATTATCAAGCAATAACCACTCCTCACACCGTGGGGTAAGTGATCATTAGAGTCTGCGGAGTTCGAAGAGAAAATCTCGATATTTTATCCGTTTTGCCTCTTCTTTTCGGACGATATTCCTCTCGCCGGGAGCTGAAAAATCGACCAATATCGTCCTGCTCTGATGGTCGAGAAGGACTACACCAGGCTCACTAGCTTGTATGAGTCTGAGGATGGGGAACGAATAGTTCCAATAAATTTGGTACTTCTCGTTTCCCACAACGGATTCAATATCCGCCGGAGCATTGGGCAACACCGGAGTCTCGTTAATAACGAAATAGTGCCGTAGGTGGAAATAAAGTATTCTCAAAGCGGCGTTATGTCGATGGATATAGACCGAGACCGCATTTGCTGGACATTCTGACAGCAAGTGCATTGGGGTCTCGGACGCCTCGCGGCATGCCCTGTTAGGAATCTTTATACCCATCACGCGACTNAAACAAGAGCCTAATATATAATTTTATGGTCACTTTCGGTTTTAACACGTGGAAATACATTAAAATCATCTAATTTCAACCCCGAAACAAAAACTTTGTTGTGTTATGATCAAGCAATAACCACTCCCCACACCGTAGGGTAAGTGATCATTGGGTCCGAGAATCATGTGCCCCAAGGAGACGGAATGAACCAACCAATGCTTTCTGCATTTGTTCGGCCAATATTTCTGTCACCGTGCGGCAAACCGGTGTGATCTTAAGATTCGAGAGTAAAAAGGCATGATTCCACGGAGTTCGAAAAATTATTTATTGTTATTATTATTTTTTTCTCAAAGGGTAAGCTGGTCAAGCCCTGTCCCCAACAAAGCTCTGAGATAGTCGGGAGGGCGCGCTAGCATTATCAAGCAATAACCACTCCTCACACCGTGGGGTAAGTGATCATTAGAGTCTGCGGAGTTCGAAGAGAAAATCTAAAATTTTGTGAAAACACTTTTTCTTATTTTCCTTTTTTAGTCAATAATCACTGATAAAAATTAATACTACTACATATAGCAAGGGCGGATTTATAGGGGTGTAATGAGGATAATATTAACATTCAATAAATAGTAAATGTGTATTGTAATACACCCCCCTGAAAATTACCTCAAACGATATTCAGAAATTACCGCCCCAAATTCGGATCTAAATCCTCCCACAGAACCAGCCATACTTTCAAGCTTATTAATCCGACCTCAATCAAAATATTTAAATGAAAATTAATGAAACTGTCAATATTCATTCAATAACCACTGGTTGAAACAACTAAGATGCTAAAATATACTCACTTGTTAAAAGGCCAAACCACCACATCCAATCTGTAAGATAACCAAATCCGCCAGCACCTGCCCTTAGATGTCCTCGCCGACCAATTCGGATCAATGACATTTTTTTCAAAACAAAACTGGAGCCAATAAATACAGAAGAACTTATAGATAAAATTAAGCCTATACAGAAGTTATTTTTATTGGTGAATGTGGCGTTGATATTTTTAACTGTAGAATTCATCGTCATAATTACAAAAAGAATTTCAACTGAAAACCTTCAGTAAAACTTGATAATATGGAATATTAGTAAAAAAATATTAGGCAGGTACAATGAATATTTCAGTTTGCTAAATTCATCTTGATAACAATACAGCAACAAACATTACTTAAACCCAAAACAACTCAATCACATTTGATCTTCCAGTTCTAATCCATAACGTCTTCAATACCCTCTAGAACCCCAAACCCATTCCGAATCTTACTGAAAACCTGGCGAAAGGAGCATGTTGCATTGGTTTTCCTCAGGTTATCACCGTTTATCAAAAATACAGTTTGGGATGTATGAAGTCAACTTAAAATACTTCTGATCTATTCAACACTAAGGTTTTGTTTTTCTATTTGGGATGGATTTGCTCAAATTATTATTTGTTCTGAGATTTCTTTTTACAAATAAAAGTTAATTGACCTAGATGACACATGACCACAAAAGAAGACCTTGACTAAATAATCTTCAGAAAATGTGTTTTTTAAATTGTGCTTGTTGCCTAATTTTTTTTATCATTTGTTTAAAGTATCGATATTTCTACATATGCACCAAGAAAGTGATAATGTCCCTAATATTCCAACCAATCTATGATGTATTAATAGTTGGTTTTGAGCAAAGTGGAAAAGTTATGCATTGCATTCAGAAACTTAATAGTAGCTTTTACATATATTGTTCTGATGAATGAATATAATAAGTACATTGGACTTCCTGCCTCTCTTTAGTTAACTTTCTCTTAATTCAATACAATATCAATCTAAACAATCAGCATGTGTATTTCAAGATAATAATGTATGAAAATGTTTTACTTAAGAAATTATTAGTATTTCTTAATAACTGAAAAATCATGTAATTTATTTTATATCTCTACAAGCTGCAAAATCAATAAACATTTTGTTTCTTTATCAGAATTTAGAATTATTTAATTAAATTTTATTAATTCATGAAAATGACGGTAATAAACCATACATGCTTTTGATCTTCATGTTACTAGGTAATTTGAGTTTACATACATTATGTTGATCAATCATCTTTTCTCCTTGTTGGTTGACAGAAGAAACTTTATAACTAAATTCTGAATATTCGCAAATTGCAAGTGTTTTGCGAAAATGTCAAATTATCAAATGTTTCTCAAACAGGTTAATAACAACAAACATGTAAATGGGACTATTACAGGTCCCAGCAGATCGAAATTTTGAGCTAGCCAGAATTACAGTCCGATCTTAAGGATATTTCATTTCAATGTGAATTGCAAACTATACGAGTAATGTTTCCAATCATCAGAACTGCAATACTATTCCCAACGCGCGTTTCACCAACCAAGTTTACGTCTTCAGGAGAAAATGTTTGATGGTGAAGACCAAGCACAATTATTAAAATATCAATTACCAAAGTTTTGAATGTCAAAAATTTTGAAGTGGAAGATGTTGATGAACGATGCCCAACCGCTTAAAAGTTTTGAACGACATTGAGAATAAGCTGATATGCAGGATAAGGAGGCAAACACTTTTCTCTGTGAAATGTTTATTCCAATTGTATCAAATAAACTACAATCATGTCACGAGTCCAAAACGTACTTTACATACTGCTAGGGCAGTTTCTGTTCTGATGTTCGCAGCTTATGTAGGAAAATATGAATATTTAAAATTGATTTATATAATTTGCATGGGCATGTTGAAATTTCCAGCAGGAGAACTCGTCAACAAAATTCATTGTTAATATTATGCTTATTGAAAAGTTTATTTTTCTTCTCCTGGAAGACAACTACTAAATATGTACAATATCCAGTACTCTTGAGGAAGGTAAATTCAAATTAAATCAATCAGTTTTATCATTCCTATACTATAATTTTTTTTATTTATGGCCCCTTTCAAAACTTTTCATGTATTTTATTATTTTCAAAATTCAAGATTGTATCTTTATAACCTTAAAGAAACATTACATGCTGAGAACAATGTGAAAGATAGAATTTCAAGTAAATATGTTGAAAATTAACCTTGCTAAGGTCTATTTTGATCATAAAATCATTGTTCTACTGACTAAGAATAAATAGAATATTGAGCAATAGGCGAGTACTTTCATTCACTTCAACAGCATTGTAATTCATAAAATTATACAGAAGATCCTTTGTATAAAATATTTGAGTAATATTTCTAAGAAAGAAGAAATTAATATATAAAATGTAAACATGAACTAATCATATTATCACAGATTAATCAATCATAAAATAAATTGAGCAGTATCAAGTTATTAGCAAGTAGTGAGAAAATCTCACTTCATATATCACACAGACTTGGCAACCTGAACAAATTGACTTACCATTCAAACAGATCTAATCAAAAAATCATTATTAGATCCGTATTGCTTACTATTTGGTTTCAACAGAAACTTTGATGTATTGCACTCTTTGAATACATTCAAAAGAAATATAGCTACTACAGTAACAAAAAATCCACAAATTGCCCCAACAATGTTAACATCACTCATATTTTTCCATTCTTCAAACAAGATAGCTGACGCTAGTATTACTAATGTTGTAAAAAGTACATAATATATAGGTGTAACTACACTAGTACTAAAGAGGTCCAGAGCTTTGTTAAGATAATTCATTTGAATACATATACAAAATATTACTGTTAGTAATAGACCTAACGGTATCCACATATTTGGAAGACGCTCTTGATCACCACCTGAAAAAAATAAGAAATGATATATTTCTCAGCAATTCGTAAACAGGTGTAACTGAATTATTAATTTAATTTTTCTACAAAAATTCATTTTTTGTGAAAGTACTTTTGTATTAATGATTACACTACTTATCTTAAATGCAACATATAACAAATTTAGGATACAATTTATATGCTAGATAAATATTTTGTTTTTCAGCACTCGAAGAAAATGAAGAAAGAACTAATATGAAATATCATTGGTTTTTTGTATATTAACCTCAAATAGGTTAGTAGCAAATCATTTTTTCATCAATTCTATATTGTCAGGTCTATGTCAGGAAATTGTAGTGTTATTGGCAAAGAGTGTAAATTTTCCAGATATGTTCAGATTTGATGAGTGACTATTGCATAACAAGAAAAGAGTTTGACAAAATATAGTGCTTGGCAATACTCCACAATTTTTTTGTATGGGAGGTACGAATTGGTCATACAAACTGACTAGTCAACAGTGTTTACCGCTCTCTAGAATAACATTATAAAACTTTTACAGGCTGTATGAAGGTTATCAAAAAAATGTTTCACGTTTTCACGTTCAGAAATCCATTGTTATGATCAGGTTTTAAAAAATGAATTTCTGACAAATTTTTTAGATTCCCAAAACAACTGTTAGTGAATATTAAATTTACCTGCAACGTTTTTGATAGCCAGGCCCAATCCTTTGCAGGCCATAACGGTTATACTTCCGATTGCTGAACAGAGCAGTATGTATACCGTCACATATCTAGTACCATAAAGAGGACCAAAATAGCAGAAAATTGAGAAACACACTATGACCACTAGGATCAAATACTCAATGAAAACTGTATTTTTAACTCTACTAAGCAACTCATTCAGTGTTTCTATTTGTTCTTCTTTCGGCGAATGGATGACTAGCATTGTGGATCCCAAAAGACACAACAAACAACCAGTCTGTAAAATAATCATAAGTTACTATAAAAGTTAGACTAAATTTCATATACGTATTTGATTGTTCATCAGTCAATAAAAATAATCCATATGAAAAAATTAATGAATAAATAAAAACAAAACCCGTATTCACTTAAAACAATTTAATGGTGTCGGATTCATTGATGAAATACATTTACTATACTGTTTTCCCAAAATTGGTTCAATTTGTTACAAATCTTGTGAAAAATTATTGAAAACAATGAAAAAACTTCATACACAGCAGAACTGGAGCACTGTTTCTCGAAACACGTTGTGCTGTCCTAGTTAGCATCATCAGAAAATTACAGTTTTAGTGTATGAAAAAAATGTTTTCATTATATTCATTTTACGACAGGTGTTCCAATTCTTCCTATTACATTCAGACTTTGTTTAATTAATCTTATTGAAAGTAACTTATTTTTCAAACCATGTCTCATTACATACCTTTCCTATATTATTTAGTTTTTCATTCAAAAACTTTGATGCTAATAGGGCTGATACTAAAACGCTTAAAGCCCCCAAAGGAGTCACTAGGGAAGCTGGAGCAAATGTATATGCAGCAAAATTGAACACTTCTCCTATTCCCACTGGAACAAAAATTGATCATAAATAAAACAATTTTAAAGTGGGGTAATATGAAAAATGCATGTTATTACAATTCTACATCAACTGGAAAAAAAATTGAAAATATTGTATTGAATGTCCAGTTGAAATAATTGAAATAGTTTCAATTCACTTTTCAGATCAAAGTTATTGATATGAACTTGAACAAAGTCATTGGCCATGCTCATTCAAATCATTTCAATCTCCTTGAAATTGGATTGAAACCATTTCCAGGATGAATGCAGTCACTAACAAATGTAGCATCAGAAATAGGCATCTGGTAATAACAAAAATTGTTAAAATTGAACTTTAGTAATCATTAATAATTTCCATCAAACAATAATTATAGCACAACTCCAAATCCATACCTCACATCTTACTTATATTATTCTATTCATAAATATTTTTTCAATCTAATAAACCTTCAGCATTGTTTTGGCTTGATGAGGCTTGATGACTTTAGAGGTTTGGTAGAACTATCGAACTGTAATCTCTGGCATAAAATAAATCTATTGAAACACTTTTCCTATAACATGAAACACGTGTTAAAATACAGAACTTTTTTTTTAGAGTGGAAAGTATTTTCAGTAGATTCACTTCAAGGTCTGTCTCTCTTTGAAAATGTCATTTCATACTTGCTAATACTGAAGTTAAAACATTTCATTATATTCCGAAATGGGAGGAGACACACAATTAATTCTCTTTTCCACTAATATCAAAATAATACCCTCAAAATGTGACGATCAACACACAAAGTAACAGTATAGTGCAATAGAATTTATGAAGTATGAATATGAAGGAGGGGAAGGCAAGCATTAAATCGATAGATAGAATTGTTACACTTGCCAAAATATGTTACACTTATATAAATGTATAATTATATTAATGAAAACTAATACACAGATAAAAACATACCAAACAACAGGAGATGACTGAAACTATCATCTCCTGATTATGCTAACTTGGGTAGCGACATTTGCATTGAGAGACATCATTTTAATTCTGGTGAGAGGAAAGTTTTATCAATAGATCACCTTTTTCATTGCCAAATAACAGATGAGGATTTCAACTACTGATACCTGCTGATATCGAGTATTTTTTGTTGGAACTCTAAGCATTGATTTCAACAGTTATTTGCACATTTCAGGTGTCAAGCTAGATAGCACCAGTTGTACTGGGTGCTTTAATTATATTGAACGTCTAGTATACTAACTGGTAATAAGGCCGAACCACCACATCCAGTCAGTGAGATAGCCAAATCCGCCAGCTCCAGCCCTCAAGTGTCCTCTTTGACTAACTCTAGTCAAGGATAATTTTTTCAAAATAAAACTCGATCCAATAAATAGAGAAGAACCAATGGATAAAAGTAATCCCAAGTAAAAGTCAAATTCGCCTGTGAACTTAGTGTTGGCAATTTTTGTTGTGGAATCCATTGTAATTTATTTCAAAATATGCTCATTGCTGAATAACTTCATGTGAAAACATCTAGTAATAATTGGTAATGCGGAATAATCAAATAGAATTGAACGGGACGGTTTTTTCGGACTAATACATTTTTCATTGATGAGAAAATAAAAACTGGGGCTGGATATAAGTCACTGGAAATTTTCGTAAATTTTACTTCACTTATGAAATTATTCAAACCCACTAATCAATGAAAACTGAACAAAATACAAAATTACCACTGTGAAATTACTGTCACAACCACTCTAGAGTAAGTGGTTTGTGGTCACAAAACAAAGCAAGGTTGGGAAGTTGTTTTCTGATCACTGTGACACAGTTCCGAAAATCTGTGACCGTGAAATTCACAGATCTCATAAGAGTAAATAATCAAAATGGCCATCATTATTGACCCCTATCATTTTGTGAGGACAAACAAGGCCGTAGCACAGTATAATGCTAAAAGCAGTTGTTTCACTTTTGTTAGAACCTTTGATGTGTCTGTCTTACAGTTTTACCACTGCGCATCTATGAATTACTAACATAGCTCAGAACTGAATGAAACTGCAATATTTTTGCATACGGTAAAATAATATAAAACGAAAAAATCGAACAGAGTTTGAAAAGCTTGTCGGAGAGTCTCAAACGAAAGAAAAGAATTGGTTTGTTTGTCTAATACAACCAGTTCTGATGAGATGCAACAACATTGGAACATACATGTACGCAGGTGGTTACCGAAACTAAATAAAGAATTTTTTGTTGATGGAACCTTATCAGCCTTAATTGTGCACTGAGTGAAGAATATTTCTTTAATGCAATAACTTTCTCACCAAATCATACTTATTTTTTTCAGGTATAATATCAGGTATTATATTTGATTTAACCGATAATAATTACACAGTACATTTTTGGCATTACAACGAAATGAAGGAATACAAAATTCATTAAAACCAACAAAAAATCAAATTCAATAAAAACTCAAAAGATAAATTCCGTAAGATTCAAGACACTGAACTCTACGTAAAAGCAGCAACCTCATCCATCTAGAGGGGAGTTATTTAGATCGGATCTCGGATCATATCGCTTTTCCTGTAGAACAGCAATAAATAAGGAACTCACGTTCCTTGGAGTTTCAGTACGTATCCTTCCTACACGGTCTTGAACGAAGAATCGTCTTACTTTATCCTGCAGTTGTAGTCGACGTGGAAGACATCGGTCACGTGTAGTCTCCAATGTTGGCATTTTTGGTTTCGTGGTGAATGCGAATAGCTTATATTGTTTCTCTGTTAAAGGTTGTGTTTCAGATGATTCCAATATCGAATCAATCTTCTAGTCGAATTCAAAATCCATAGCCTTGATAACCTTCGTGCAACGGTCGTCGGTGTATTCGAAAAACTTCAGATGCAAAACGAGGATAACAGGAAGTTTGCAGAGCATAATTTGCTCCCACGTTTCGACCTTCTCGTTTGTTTTCGACGAAGTCAGCCCCTCTAAACTGTTCTTGGAGACGAGTACTTTGAGCGTACAGTCTTCTCAATGTTGAGTGGCAATGTTGATTTGGAATATATAGGAACTGGGTCTTTAATCATTTTTCGAAAACGGTCACATTCTTCTTTCCATCGCGCAACTTTCCCTAAAAATGTTAATCTAATTTGATAACACTTGCACTTTCTTTTCTTTCTCAGATGGATTTGTTTCAGCATGAGTTTCAGCTTTCTCCGTACTCATATTCCCATTATTTTCTATAATGTCCTTCAAGAAAGCATTCGTTATAGAGCCACTGGAGATCTGTCGATATTTCTAATTGAACATTTTCGAAAATTTGATAAAAGAGCATCTGCTTTTACAAAGTCTAGTACTTTTTTAATGACCTTGATTGTTGTATAAAGAAGCTTCTTATTCAAAAAGCTCTTTTCATAACTTTTGGCACTCTAATGTGAGCAAAAATAAATCATATTTCATCTAGTTATATGTCATGTACGATTTAATAGATAATGTCTTACAGATTATAACCTCCAACTTATTATCTATAAAAAAATACGTCGATGATTTAATAATTACATTACCAAAATCAGGAAATGCAGAAATACTGGAAGTTTTCAGTAGATATGATCCATATATTGAATTTAACATTGAATGGGAGGATGGTGAACATATCGTTCCTTTTTGGACACAAAATTTCTTCGAACTTCAGAGAATACCATCCTAATATATCGGTATAGAAAAATAATAAGCTCTGGTATATTTATAAATTACCATTCTTACCATAAACTATTCATGAAAGTTAATTTGATCAAACAATAAAAATCTAGTAGATGGTAGAAAAACTGGCCCCATTTCCATAATCATTAATAATGAATCAGATTTTCTGTATAAACTATTTGAACAGAATACTTTTTCTGAATGATCCTGAAATGATGTATTTTATATATATACTATCCCTCCGATTATCAACTAAACCAACCGCCACTGTTTTATGGTCCAACTTACTTCCCGTAAACAAAGTTATACTGCCTTCAATGTAAGGATGGAAAATACCTCTCTATTGTCTTTTGTGATTCTGAGTGCTATACCAATACATGTATTTTGAAGCGGGTATCGGACTATCCTTTTCTGTACATCTTATTGGCGTGGGGGGGTGGCGGGTAATGAGAGGTTATTATGGAGAATTTGTTTACATTTGAAGTGAGTAGGACCATAAAACAGTGGAGGTAGATATAGTTGATAATCGGAGGAATATTATATATTTGTAAAATAAATCATTTAAGGTGGAAATGTGTTATGTTCAAATAGTTCCTACAGGAAATCTGATTTATTATTAATGATTATGGAAATGAGGCCAGTTTTTCTACCACCTACTAGATTTTTATTTATGTATAGGTTTATAATAAAGCGCGTGGTTTACTGGGTTGAAATTAAATTATTTCAAATGAACTAAAGTCTATCCAAATCCAAGATAGAGTAAAACAAAACAAAACCGAAGCGTGATGTTCACGTGATCGCCCAGTGTCAGATGGAAAGGGCAGCGTTCATTGGTGAATTCGCCTTCTTGGTACGAGTTCGGTACCAGCACAGGGTTGTAATCAGTCGTTTGCGTGTTTGTGTGGCATGCGTTATAGTATATTGTTTAAAATTGTTTTCCAAGATGTCCAGTACAGACACTGCTGATGACACTGTGAGCTATCCTCTGAGTCCAGCCAGGAAACGATTCAAAAAAAGACATTTGAGTGAGATGAAAGAAGTGATTTAAATGTGTTCAAGAAAGAGAGGAAAGAAATTGATACATATCGACTGGCGACAAAGTCGTATCGAAAGACTTTGCCAATAAGATGTTTATATCTTGGGTAATAAAGCATATTTTGATTTGATTTGATTTGAAAGTTTCCGATAAAATTGGAGTGTGTTGCGCTTCGATTTACAATGTTTTACGGGAATATAAACAAAATCATACCTTTTCCAAACCGAATACAAATCTGAATCGTCAAACCATTATAAAATCAATAGATGATGCTGATAAACATGCAATCAGGAGGAAAGTGCATAAGTACTTTTTCAGAAATGAAATACCCACGATAGACAAAGTACTCACAGAAATAAATGAAGATGTTTTATTGCCAAGTTTTAAGCGGTCAACATTACATAAAGTATTGAAACATTTGACTTTTGTATGGAAAAAACGAGGGCGCCATAGTTTATTATTGGATAAAGAGGAAATTGTGTTATGGAGGAGAGAGTATTTGACCAAAATTAAATATTATAGGGAACAACAGAGAACAATGTATTATATGGATGAAACCTGGGTTAATGCTGGTCATACTACCCCTAAAGTATGGGTCGATGAAACTGTGACCTCATCTAGGAGGGCCTTTCTAGATGGACTATCCACCGGATTAACAAATCCATCAGGTAAACTTATATTTATATTAAGACCTGCCTCAATCTCAATATGTAAAAAGTAACCCTCGTATTTGTTTTATTTACTTACATACCTCTTCATAATTTTAGGTAAAGGAAAACGGCTTATTATTTGTCACATCGGCAATGAGAATGGGTTTGTTGCTGAAGGGCTGTGGTGTTTCGAGTCGAAAAAAACTGGAGATTATCACGAAGAAATGAACGGTGAATCTTTCGAACAGTGGTTTTCCAAAGTTCTACCCCATCTGGAGGATAATGCTGTGATTGTAATAGACAATGCACCTTATCATTCGCGACAGTTAGAGAAGATTCCGACAACGTCTTCAAAGAAGGTTGAAATCCAAAATTGGCTGCGATCAATGAATATTAGCTATGAAGACTCAATGCTAAGAGTACAGCTACTAAAAATTGTCAAGGAACGCAAGCTTGAATACCAGAAATATATAGTCGATGAGATGGCAGCAGGCCAAAACAAAATTGTCCTTCGCCTGCCTCCATACCACTGCGAGCTCAATCCCATCGAGTTAATATGGAGAAACTATTCGAACAGAATACATTTTCACCTGAAATGATTTATTTTATAAATATATAATATCCCTCCGATTATCAACTAAACCAATCGCCACTCTTTTATGGTCCAATTTACTTCTCGTAAATAAACAAAGTTATGCTGCCTTCAAAATGAGAATGGAAAAGGCCTCTCTATTGTCTTTTGTTACTCTAAGTTCAATTCTGTGTCCTGTGTCGTGTCTGAGAACTGTGATTCTGTCATTTGTCAGTCTGTCAGCAGTACAGCAGAGCAGAACAGCAGTTTTAAGTTTTAACCACAGACCATATACCCTCTGTGGTTTTAACCTTACCTTTGAGAAATTGGTTTTGTTGTTTTATCAAAATAAATAGGAATATGGACAGGTAAACATGAAATTGACTAAAAATGAACTGAAAATATGTACCCTTTTGTTTATTACCTAAGGTTCCTGATAGCATTGGGTCGAAACACTCAATTTCAAAAGAAGAAAATGGAAATATTCCAGTTCTTGAGTTTGAAAATCAAAGATCAGACCCAGATCTAGAAAATCATTCTGGGGATGATAGTTCCATAAAAAGGAATATAAAAGAACTTACAAGTATAATTTCAAATGGGATGATGTGAGTAAAAATAAAAAATGATTATTATAATACTACTTTTAAGGAGTTCTCAGGAGTTTTGTAAATGTTTCTAGGAAGTGACCATTGTTTCACATGGATACCTAGGCAAGAATTATTAAATGAAACGTATTAGATATTATTCATGCAAAAACTTCTGCTGTTTTTCATTTGAAAGATTTCATGATTGTTTTTTATTTATTTTTGTGATGCAGGTACAAATTAAAGATTTTCAGTTCCAGAATATTTTTTTTGCCTTTCAAATTCAATATCACACAGAACTTTGTAGAATCGTGTCGAAAATTTCAAATATTCAGAAGAGGAAGATTATCAAATATCAAATTTCTTCCGATTTGAAAATCATAATATCCATAGGAATTCGCGAATCTAGCTACTTGAAAACGTTTCTAGTATTGTTCATTCTACTGTGACAGAAACCTAATTGAAACAAAACACATTTGCAATCGTGAAAGAGCAATTTAAAGAAGAAAAAAGACACATTTTTATCAAATGTTCAGATTATGATCTTTCTCTTAAGGCACATTTCCTAGTTTCCAACAAATTTTTTATTCCATATATTTTCCCAATTTAAAGGGATAACATTATTACAAGTTTGGCAATACTGGCATTTGGTCTGAGATGACTTATGCGCATGTGCCATGTTTAGGCTTGCGCGGTACATTTTGGGTACTATTTTCTGGTAAATTTCAGTACTTCTTAAATTGACGTTGCGGCAGTAATGAGTACGTCAGTCGTTGGTTGTCGTTTTATCAGGTTTACAGATTAAATATCTGTCTCAGGGTCAATTGACAGAATTCAGATTTGTCATTTCTTCAAGAGTAGTAAGATTTGTCATTGTCGTATTAATAAAGTTATTAGTACGAAAAGATAATCTAGTGATAATTGTTATAAACAATAAGTTGGAATGTAGTAATACTTTTATCACATTCATAAAATTTCACCTATAATATTAATTTTCCTTAATACTTGTTTTAATTTATACTGTGAATAAAGGAACCAAGATGGGTAAAGGATTCAATAATTATATGTGTAAGAAATTCTTCCACCCAGCATCTAGAGACAATTTGAAGAGGGTAAGTAGTTTACATACTTTTATTTTTGAGAAAACTGTAGAAGTGCAGTCAATGTACAAACAAATATATTCTTTGTTAGTATGATTGTGGTTAATTTACTGCTTTCACCAGTTTTTTTTCATCAGGCTGAGTGACAATGGCAAAAACTGGTCTTTTTCATTTGCATTGTTATCGAAAAATTAACCAACTCATTGTTAGTATGATTGTGGTTAACTTAATACTTTCACCAGTTTTTTTTTCATCAGGCTGAGTGACAAATGCAAAAAAATGTCTTTTTTTATTTGCATTGTTATCGAAAAATTAACCAACTCAGTATTTCAGTAAAGTCAAAATTCTGTCTTGCTGGGTCTTCATGCGCTCAATAAAACAGATCTCTGAATATATGCTTATTTAAAATCTTTCCTAATTATTTATTATATTTCAGGTATGGATGGCAGAACAGAAAGCTGAGGCATACAAAAAGAAACAAGAAGAGCTCCGCCAACAGTATGAAAAGGAACAAGATCTCCATGATAATAAAGCAATGCTTAGTAAAGAGAGTAAAGATAAGTTGAGCATAAATTTTATGTATGAACCTCCTCCTGGAGCCAGAAAAGAAAGGGAGAGAGAGGATAATGAGCCAGAGTATAAGTTTGAATGGCAGAGAAAATACAATGCACCTCGTGAAAGTTACTGCAAAGGTGATCAAGAAATTCGTGATCAGCCCTTTGGAATTCAAGTCAGGAATGTTCGCTGTATCAAGTGTCACAAATGGGGACATATTAATACTGGTAAGTTAACTAATTTTTATGTTTTCAACCCAGGTTTTCATATGGGATTAGTTTGTTTATGGAACCTTGCTTGTTGAGAGATTAATTTCAAGAATATTTTCTGTTCATGAAGTTGACTGTCAAGTTCTATCTCCAGATTCATGATTGGACAAAAATATGTGAATCTTATTAAAAATTTTGCAAAACTATGTCGGCTATTAAAATGAATGATTACCTAAATTTGAAGTTTTGCATACTATTTCTGACTGAAGTTATCCTAAACTTGTTTTTTTTTCAGATAAGGAATGCCCTATGTACAGCTTGTCTATGAGTGCTGCAAGATCTTTGGAAAATGCTACAGTCCTCGACCAGAATTCTTTAGTTCAGCAAATGCTTGATGATGGTTTAGCTTTAAAAAAACAGCATATCAATACAACCGAAGCTAATAAACACCTGCTAGTGAATGAAGATGTAGAAGAAAATTCAGAAGTGGCTTTTATAAAATCTTTAACAAAAAAACAAAAGAGAGCATTATTGAGGTAAGAAATTTTCTTAATAAAGTTCACACACAACTGTTCAATTAATATATAAAAACATTCACTAATTTTCAACTCTGTTTACTTTCAGAAAACTGGAAAAGCTAGAGAATAATTTAAATTCTAATTCAAAAAATAATGATGAGTATAGTGACAGGGAATTATCCTCGGATGAAGACACCCGAAAGAAACCTAGGTCTAGAACTCATATGAAAACAGAAGACCGGTATAAGAATGAAAAAAAAAGAAGTAAGAGTAAAGAGAGGAAGAGGAAAAGAAGATGTGACAGTGAAGATAGATATTCCAAGAGGAAGCATTAATACATATAATTATATTTGCACGTATCACAAATGCAGTTAAAGGATATTCAAATGGTTATATATATATTAATTTTCTATGTATATATAAATTAAAATTGTATGACCACTGTAATGATTATTTATATGATTAATTCTAGTTAATCCAGTTTCATATATATCTCCAAATTTCCATGCCTACAGGAGTGCCCATATTCATTAAACAATATCAATTGAAATGGAGGTACGAGAAGAGTTGAAGTTTCAAGTTTTTCCCAAGTTTGCAGCTTTTTTGGTCGAACCGGTCGGTTCGTCCAACCTGTGTTAGAAATAACACGTTAAAAAGTAAGACCTCGTTAGTCCTTAGCTCGCACAAGTTTTAACTTCTGAGGGTTGTCGTTCGTAGGGGTGCGATAGCTGGTTAACGGAAAAAAACATATTTTTTTTAAGTGAAGACAGTTTTAATGTCTTTATTAACAATGTGTCTGTTATAATTGAAGAAAATGCATATCGGAAATTAACAATTATCACTGTAACCACTTAGAGAAATGTAAGAAGTAGAAAGGAAATGATAGATCTGAAATATATTGTCAACAGTCGATCAACAAAAAATATGAAAAATATAAATATAATAGCTTGTAACTGAAATAGAAATAAATGAATAGGGGTTGGAAAAAATGCTTTAACAAAAGTAAATAAAAATAAAGTCATGATTTTCATGTGAAAATATGGAAGTTTACTGAAACACTTGAATGGAAAACCAGGTTTTCAACCCATTATGAGGTAGTTTTCCATCATTCACATGTCCTAATGTTTTACTTTATTACAGGTCTTGTATTTATTGTCCTAATTTTTACTAGGAAGAAATGTTTTCCAAAAATAGAATCCTGACAATTAACCAGGATGCAACTATTTCTAAAAATACTCATATTTACAATTTCATTTGCAGTCAATTTACCTAACTGGATCCTTTCGCATATGTAGGTAAAAAAGTGTTTTTACATACAGGCCGTTTCTTTTATCATGTGGTAACATTGCTATATCCGTAACAGATATGAAGACGATTAAATGTGAAAAAAGGTAGCTGTCATCGGGAACAATACAAATTTACGGGGACTCTCGCCATTCTCGAGTTATACGGGGAAAACAAAAATGCTGTTTTTCGTATGGAATTGTTATTTTGGAGAATATCAATAAATGGAAAATGTTATTGTATTCGAAGTGTACTATGACGATGTAATAATGTATATTTGATAAAACGTTTCGTGTCAACATATCCACCATCAACTGTTTTTTTTTTAATCCAGACCTGTCTTTTTTATTACAGATATTGAAGCAATGAATTCACAATACAAAGGTATATCACATTTGATATTTTTAAAGCGTTTCATTTGAAATAACCACCATTATCAGTGACAACAATCAAACAGAAAAACAATTCATTTTATCATGAATGAAACCAATACGGAAAATCAAAGCAACATCAAATGTTTGAATTGACGACCTCTTTGTTGAATACAGTTGTCGGTCCAGACAATTTCAGTGGCAATTTTCTAGCATAATAGGTGTAACACTAATACATGCATCTCTTATCTTTTTGTTTGAGATGGTCGATATGTGTTCTTGGTGTTGAAAAAAGTTTATCCTTTATGTTTCCCCAGACAAAAAAAATCTAAAGGAGTAAGATCTGGGGATCGAACTGGCCAGTTAAGTGGTCCATTGTTTCCAATCCATTTTCTTGAGAATATTGCAACTAAATGTTCCCTTGCTATGGCTGCATTATGGAGAGGAGCGCCGTCCTGTTGAAAATATTGTATTTCATGGCGGATATTCAGTGGCAATTCATCTAAGTAGCCATCGAATTCATTGAATAGAAAATGAAGATACATTTCACTATTCAAATGATCATCGTAAAAGACAGGGCCACGGATGTTTGCTTCCACAATTCCCAACCAAACATTTATTCTGAACCTTTTTTGGAAAATGATTTCCTTATGTAAATGTGCATTTGTATCATTCCACCTATAATTGATATTTCTGTTAAATCAACCATCGTTGGTGAATTTTGATTCGTCCGTCCATATTATTTTTTGACAAATATTTCCAACTTTCCTATTTCTACGTCTCAACCACTTCGCAAATCGTACTCTCCTTATGTAATCCCTTTCATTGAGGTGATGAACTTTGCATATACTATAGCATTTATATTTGTTATTTTTCAAAATAGTTGTGGTGAATTTTACAGAAATTCTCATTTCGTGGACAATTTCTCATAAAGAACAATCCTGATTAACATAATTTTTGTAACTGGCCAATCCTATATTAAAAAAAAAAGATGTTTTCACTGTGTAAATTTTTATGTGGTAATATTTGATTACAAATATTTCCAGTAACCACACATTTTCTTTCTGTCAAATGCACCATTGTCCTTCAAATTTCTTTCCAATCATCCAAACATTTGGGTGTTTGGAATACGACGATTCGGGTATAGCTCAACATACATATTCCTTGCCAAACGAGGTCTTCTATTTGATTTTGCATAACTAAATAGCATTCATCATTTGAATACATCTTTGATATGTTCATACAAGTCTGATAGTTCTCAACAGATATCAACAACGCATTCATTTTTTCTGCCATAGAACCAAGCAAAGCCTACACGTTTAAGATGGTAAATAAATTGAAATGCTATTTGATCATACCAAATTATACAAAAATAGAATTTTGACCAAAAACTGATATTTTCGTTACTTCCAGGATTGAGAATTATAAAAATATTACGAATTATAATTGATTTGGGAGAAATAATCCTTAAAAGGATTACGGCAATACAAAAATTTCCAAAACGAAAAAGTACGAATTTTCATTGTGTTAGGGTACCTACCTGTCGAATTTATTGGGTTGTCTGAATTATATTTTGTAGAAATCGACACAATCTACAAAAGAAGTAACGACAGGACTGTAATTTAAAATTGTTGTCACTGATGATGGTAGTTATTTCAAATGAAACGCTATAAAACGTGTTTCGGGCAGTAATATGATCCACATTAATTCATTTCCATTTCAAGTCACGATAATTTGTGCTCCTAATAAAACAGCTTTCATATTCAATTTTCATCAATTACTTTTATTTACATTTTTTGCAATAGGACTGAAGACTTTGGTCGTGTTCCTATTATTTCAAACAATAAAAGTCAGAACCTAAAGTTCAACTACATTCAAATAATTCTATTGAACATGTATTGGTTTTCAGGATTTTATTTGAAAATTATGTTTGTGTTCAAGTTAGTTTTATATGATATTGAAAAACTTCTGGTGAATACACGTCATTACTGAAATTATGTTTAATATAACATCAAATACCACTATACAATGTTACAACCAAATTATCTAATATGACAGCCTCAAATCTTACAGGACATAATCTAATTCATATCTGATATATTGATTTTTAGGATCATTGGCAAGTCTAGGGTACCCTGCAACCAAAGCATCTTGACTGCCGATGTAGAGAGAATTGTAGATCTTCCAATAAACATCCCTAACCTTTCGGGCAGGATGGAACAAACCCTGAAACACAAAAAAATGTACAGGTCAAATCGAATGATTTAGAAGTAAAGTGTGAACTTGAAAAAAAAAAGATTAACCTTAGATAAATTTACGATAAAATTTTGAAGACCAATAAATATTCTCAACTCATTTTAGAAATACCTTGATAATATTCTGGGTAAAAGTACAATAAGTCATTCTTCACAGTAAAATCTGTGTTCCATTAGCATACTTGAAAGCAGATGTATTCAGGTGTTATTTGAATATTATCCAACTGGACTTGAATCATTCATATAGAATCATATTTTAGAAATTCAAAACGTGATAAATGAAAACAAACTCTAACCTGTAATGTGTACTGCAGAATCTCGATGGGACCAAGCGCCACTCTCATTCCTTCAATCGCATCCATAAAAGCCTGGACTAAATGAGGCGAAGTTTCGAAAATATTGGGCCATACGTAATTCAGTAGATGAACGAGAGCATCCTCACATCCAAAACCATATACACCTAGAGCCATATGTTTTATTGCCGCACAAGCTGTCTGCCTATGAACTAAATCCCTGTCCATAAGAGCATCCTCCAACAGAGGTGTCACAGCATATATATAGTCTTTACCCATCTCTCCGATATATTCAAACAAGAATGAGAGCGACTTCAAAACTCCGTTCTGTACATTCAACTCGGGAACACGATACTCATTCATCAAAGCAGGAAGTACTGTGAAGGGAGAACAAGTTTCGGCAACAATGGCTATTGCTACTGTAGTACAGACACGATTCTGACGTTCCTGGACTTTCAAATTGTTTAGAAGGGTGGCTAACACATCATGAGGACCAATAGCTTTGGCAATGTAACCAAAGGTATTGACAGTCGCTCTTCGAATAGCTTTTTTGTGAGCCTTCAGCAATTCCAGCAATTCAAAACAAATCCTCATCCATTCTCTGGCATTGACATATTCGGGACCACGATCAGCAATACGACCTACCAAATCGATGCAATTTTCTTGCACCTTTTCATGTCTATTTTTCAAAATGGGGGTTAGCCGAGGCAACAAATCTTTGATAGGAGGTGTCATTTTCGTCATACCTATAACATTCACAATTGCTTTCAGAGCTCCGAGAATTGACCCTAAAACTTCAGGGTATTCTTCTCCTAAGTATTCATAAAGAACTACACCCAAATGTCCCATCAGCCTTTCCTCCTGGCAAGTTTTCATTACGACTGCTATTCTAGAAATCAGATCAGCTGCTTGCTGACGAACTTTGGCTGATTTGTTATTCAACCTCCAAAGGATCATACCACAAATTTGTGGCAGGTAAGGCTTTACACGTTTTCCCAACTGATTAACGATAGTTCCAAACCCGTTCAGCATCACAACATCTTCTGTTGTTTGTTCTTGGAAAGCATACAATATACCATCATTCAAGTGCTCTTCAAGAGTGAAATCAATATCTGCAGCACCTAAATTGCCCATTATTTTTTCGATACTCTCCATAACCATCTTTCTATATTGTTCATTCTCGTCTTTCAAATCATCTACAATTCTATTTATGATCTCAGATGCTCCAACTTTATTTGCAATTTCCACAGTTGTATCCACTAGTTGCCTATAGTTACGCCTATCCAACGCCATCCTATGATTCCAGAAGTGTTTGAAGAACTGGGGCAAAATGTCCTCTTTTATGTACTGTGGCTCCACACCATCTGTGGAACAACATTGCTTGACTACTTTCAATACAATCTTTTTCATTTCCTCGTCTGGAGACTGAAACTCTCTAATGAGAATCAGCATCACTTCCCTCGTGTAGTAATTGGCGTATTCTGCGTCCATAAGGGGTATCAAGTAACCAATAGCTTTCAAGAAAGCTGCCAAACCTTTACCTCGATGAGTTCGGATACCCTTCCACAGGGGTTTGAGAACAGAGTCGAAACTTTCAATACCGTATGGAGTGGCTGCTTCTGCAAGAGCAGCTATACCTAAGGCTGTGATAGTCCTCACCTTTTGCTGTTCATCAACTAGACCATGTTCGATGATTTCTACCAGTGATTTCAAATGGGGTAAAATTGCACAACCCATAAGGATGGCAATTTGCTGGACAATTTTAATACCGGTGTGCCTAGCTTGCCACGATTTCTTAGATCTGCAGACAGCCTTTAAGAAAGGCAGGAGAGATGGAATACCTAGAGCTGATGCTACCACAGCAAATGCTCTCGCAGTGGTGTTCCTCACGTACTCATCAATGTTGTCTATATCAGGTCTCATTGTTGATATCATAGTAGCTAAACCTGCAGCTTTAGCAAGATTGGATATAATTTCACGACCTTCAACACGTGCATAGTAATCTTCATCAATCAGAAGTGGTTCAATAACTACAAGGATTTTGTGAACATAAGGTCTCACCAAATCATCAAGCTTGTATAATATTCTGTCAATAACTTTCACAAGTAAATGTCTTTCCTGATCTTCCAGAGTTGGGCTCATCAAGAGGGGCAGAATTTGATTGAACAGTGGACCTGCTCCGAATTCTCTAGCCTTGTCGGTGATTTGACGCAAAGCAGCTTTCCTCATAGGAGGTGTTCCATTCTTTATTTTCAGCAAAAGTTTCATGATCTTTCTTTCCTTCTGTTCTTCCGGGCTCAATGCTTCCTCGTCTACATCAACCAAAAGCTTGTCAAAATATTGAGCATCTTCAGGTTTCATGAACGGTAGATTCTGACCCTTGGGTTGATTGTCAAGATATTTGGCAGATTTGTCTTCCTGCTGAATGAAGAATCCTTGAGGTGTACCACCAATCATAGGAGTCGGTGTTGCTGTTAGTTTTCTGGATGGGGTCCTTATAGGAATATATCCAGCTGGTGGTGGAAGTACTTTATACCCGGGTGGAAACATGCTATCAAGTTCGTCATCTGAATATGGTCGATTACGTTCATCTATCTCCCTTTCCCACCTGAAAGCCTGCAGCTGTTCCGGAGTCATAGAGGCTAAATGCCCTGGAGTGGGAGTAGCCATTGCCATAGCTTTCACACCTACAGGTGTAGATCCTCCAGGAGTCAGCATGGGAGTAGCATGACTAGGAGTTCCATGGGGCGTAGTAGGTGTCATCGCACCTGGTGTCATTGCCTGAGAAGGAGTAGCCGATGGAGTCTCATCCCATCTTGATCTTCTTTTTGAAGCTCCTGGTGTTGGAGTTTCTTGAATAAGATCCGCCCCAGTTCTATCTGTTCTGGGTGTTTCGGCCCAACCACTCGAATGGCCTGGAGTTTCTCTTTCAGTCTTGGGCGTCTCATCCCAACGATTTCTTCTTGAGGTACTCTTATCTCCTGTATGGCCTGGTGTAGTATCTCTTCCTGGTGTTGCTGCTCCAGGTGTTGCATCCCATATCCTTGTAGACTGACCTGGCGTTGCACCAGGAGTTTCACTGCCTTTATGCCCAGGAGTTTCATCCCAACGAATATCTGCTGGGGTTTTCTGATAAAAAAAATTCAAAATAATATATTTTTGAGATTCACTTTTCCATTTTAGTATAACTAATACAAACAAAATTAATATGGAGAAAATGGTTAATGCTGTAATTATGTTACATCAAAACAGAAAATTAAAATATTCTGGTAATTTATAAACTCAAGTTCACGAGCAAAACTATTTATTCAGTAATTTATTTATATGAAACATAAGTTGTATTTAACAATTCAACTTTCATCTGTCTTGAACTTGGGTCAGCTCCCTTCATTTTCCTTTGCTACTAAATAAACATTCCTAATGAGGTATTTACTAAATTATGCTTCGGAAAGTTGCAAACAATATTGGTATGAACACATCAACTAACTAACACAACTTTAATGTTAACTGGATTATAATAAATATGAAATTTATAATAATCAAATTCATAACTACTACATAAAAACCATACATAAATATAGCTATTCAGGTTAGGTCATTAACAAAAAAAAAACTATTATTTTCAACGTATTCAAAAAACACAATACAATTATTGTGACGCCCCCTGAAGATGCTATTGTATATTGAAACACGTGTAAACTTTCAAGAGAAAATCTCATATTCAAATGTGTTTCGGAATACGTTACAATGGATTTTCATCAAGCATCGGTCAGTTCTATCATATTATTTTCGAAGATTTCCAATTCTGCAACAGTTTATTTGAAAATGTAGAAATGTGGGTAGCCTACTCCAATTCAAACATATTTTAATTGAACATATGAGAAAAAATTTATCAATAACTTATTTAATGCTTAGTCATATAGATCAATTTATGTAGTTTCAAAAATTTGTCAACTGTTGCCTTGTACTTATTAATTCATATAGTTTTTATATTGGGTGATCCTATTTTCAGATAAATAACTAAATGAATCATCTATAAAAAAACGATTATGATTTCAAACATGACTGAAACGAGTACTGTGATACACATTTTTTTTGTTTGCTTTTCATGACACTCATATTGAACGGAGAAGTGAAAACCAATCAAGTTATTTACACTAACGAATAATAAAAAAAATATATAAAAGTAATACTTACATCTCCTTCCCAAACAGGTGTTGCTGCATTGCTACTTGTAGAAACGCTGAGGGCTTTTTTCTTCTGTGGTGTAAGAGCTTCATCTACAGTTTGATCCCACCTACCTCGCTTCTTTGTTGTGGGTTTCACGTCACCATTTATGACTTTCAGCGTACCATCCTTTGATTTTTCTACCAACTTTTTACGGACCTGAAAAATTATTTTAGAAATTTCAACTTTGATCATTTGTTTCTTCTTCTTTTGAATGTCTAGGTATGGTAATTGAAAATCAATTTTTGAATTTTCCTACAACAAGAACATAAACAGAAAAATGTACAGTTTCAAACATTTTTCTATGAAGATCATTTTCAACTTACCTCATTCTCTTCACCTTTGAGCAACTGTTCTTTCATAATCTGTGAGTAATTTCTTGCCTGGAAGTCTGGCGTTTTTCCACCTGTAATCATAGAAAATTTGAGAATTGTTTCTTAAACATGTTGGCATTTGAGCCACTTCTTCAGTTGTAGTATCTGTTCTGATTATTTATGGTTAAATGAGATTTGTAACACCATATTCTCTCAATAGTATTGATTTTTCAAATATCACCACCATCATTGCTAAAATAATTTCACTCATTGAATGAATGAATGAACTGAGAATAACAAAAAAGATTTCAGATGTAATTGAAGAATCTGACTCATCAAAAAATAAGATATCTAAATACTTTTTTCAATTTTTATTGATAAAAATGATTTACATTGTCAAAAACAAATCATTAATGATGAATTTTTCATAAAAATGAGTGTATGTCATGAACGTATTACTGAAATATAATGAAATAATACAATAAATATTTAGTTCAACATTAAAAAAAGTTAAATCCACAATTTCACCCATCTTTTTTTTAATTTATTGTTTCCTAACCCCAACAATCAGAAAAAATCAAAATAAAATAAAAACTGTTATTTTTAAAACTAAATTGGTCTCTTTCTCAGAAGTGAAACATTTTATCAATAATATCCAAGTTATATTTTTATTCTTGCTAAATGATAGATATAAAATTTAATGGTTTTCTTTCACATTGCTTATATATTCTTATTTTGAAACAACATTTTACTTAGAAGGTTCTTTGAAAGCACATGCTCTTCTCAAGATAGATATTATGAACTAGAACATTTTAATATGCAAAGTATGTACATTTATAATTAGTCCTTACTTATTTAATACTATCCCAAAAAATGAAATAAATGTGTTGAAAAAAAGCTTGGCAAGTTACTCATCTCATTCCGTCATTGATCCCAAAGAATACAAAATACTCTTAGATGAAAATGAAGAAATTTTCAGACTTTTTTTGTTCTGGAAAAACCTATTTAGAAATAATGATACGTTGGACAATATGAAACGGAACATTCCTGTATTGTATTACATAAACCCATAGAATTTAGCCTGGTTTTGAATTCATCAAATAAAAAAAATTGAACCAGTGACATCATACAGCAATGACTCAATGTGTTCGGACTATGTTAGGTTTCAATCAAATCTATCGTGGGTCCTTAGTAAATCAAATAAAACCCACTACTGAATAACCTTCATTATAATTTTCAACAATAACCCTTTTGAATTCCTTCAAGTTGTGAATGCAAAATGAGTTAGGTGAGCCCTGTAACATGAATTTTTATTGGCGGACAAAAAGAAACTTACTAGAATATGTTCTCTAAAAGTAATCTTGCTTTCCGCCAGTTAAAAACAGTTATGGTATTATCCTGGAAAGCAGCTTTTTTCCGGCTGCTAGTGTGTATACAATGTAATAGTTGCTTTTTGTCCCATTATCAGCTAATATTTGATGCATCTTATCATGTCAATAATGAATTGATAGAATCAATAATTTTAAATTAACATTTAATGAAGAATACTTTTTCATTTTGAGTATGTACTTTCAAATCACGCTAACCCTGCATGGTGATATGAGAGAAGTTGGTGAACAAATCTGAATACGTACGTGCACAGCAGATCCATCACAAAATCTGGTAGATTCTTGAAAAACAACAGGTCAATCGTACCTAGAAATAGGCTGGGGTAATTAATAATTTTATGTACTTTGCTCACACTCTTTCACACTTTTGAGATTTCAGTTACCAATTCGTGTTTATTACAGGTGTCAATCCTCTATCAACGTAGACCGAAACTTGCTGCTACTTGACAACCCTAAATGATGGTTTTTCCCAAAGAACAAAATCAGTATATTAGTTTTGAGGTACTGTTTTGCGTTTGAATTTCATATATCTTCAGAATAGTTTTGTCACATTCATTGTCAACTCACACACCAACATTCATATACCCCACAATGCAAAAATGAAAGAAGTTAGGTGAATTCCAGAGAATCGAGAAACCTTTCAATATGTCTATATTGAACAATAAAGAAATTTTGATTTTATGAATTATTTGAAAATATCAAGAGGGTCTATAAATTTTCTGTTTCCTTTTCATATATTAGAAACTAGTTCTTGCCCGCGGCTTCGCCCGCGTAGAATTTGGTAGTTGTAGTACTAATGAGTACTATATTGCTCTATTGCTGCTGTTCCAATATTTTGACAGAATCAGAATCAACGAATTTAGGCGTGCGCAGCGTTATAGAACAGTGCTTTCAAAAAATTATTCTACAGCGCCATCTAGTGGGGAGTTACAGAAAAACCGATAGCCTAAAAACCTTCTCTATGAAAAATTACTTATACATGTCAAGTTTCATCACGATCGGTTGAGCGATGTAGAAGTTTATCACTTACCAACCAACCAACCAACAAAGTAGTTGAAAAGTAAATCGAAGGGAACATTTGTCAATATTGATATACACAAATCATCATACAAAATATATTGAAAACTCCACTGAATTTAACGTAACTCGATTTCAACCTGATTTATACAATCAATCAATATTGCTAAATAAAGCGCAGAGTTTCCAAAATCTATGTATTTCCAGAATCTTTGCATACAGTGTATAGGATGACCAATGCAATGACTTCAAATTTCACTGGCAGTGAAGATTTTTATGTGAATCTCTAGGACTGGCATTCACAGACTACTAACATTGACGAGACAAGCTTGATACTATAGATATACCAAAATAGGATAACAAAGCTAGGAATCAATTAATGCATAATATACAGTTTTTACAAAGGTACACAATTGTATATATCACTTCCACTGCATAATACATGAAGAAGATCCTTGCTCTCAAGTTGCCAATCATAATATACAATTTCAACTTTATGTCAGCGAGTTCATCAAGAAATCATTTGAATGATATTGTTCATTTTATAAATAATAATGGATAATAAATCAGCATCGCACCACAATCCAAGCTGGATTGATTTTTCTTTGTTGCATGTCTGACGAAACTGCTAATATTCACAACGCTCCTTAAGTGGCCAGTCATAAACATGATCTACCCAGTACAGAAGGCCATAGTCATCAATGCCAAGACACAAAAATATTGATTTATGTAATTTTTCAGTAGTTTTCATACCAGGAGATTATGGTATCACTGGCAAATGAAATGAAACTGCCCAATACATCAATCTTATTCAGAATGTTTATATACAACAAACATAGTAGGACCTAACATTGAGCCCATTTACAAGCTCAATATGAAAAATCTTCTGAACATATTTACAGTTGAGATGTTGAATGCTAACATAAGAGGTCTGTTCAAAAAATTAGGTGAATTCTCATTTCTTATCTCAAAAAATATTGTTATATTCATCAATTTCCATTTTGTCCCCTTCAAAGTAGTTTCCTAAGATATAATACCCTTGTGTCATATATTTTGAACATATTTAAATTGTTTTTCCACGATACAAGACGTTTTCTTTGTATTACTTTTCGTAAGTGGCGCATAACTTCAAGATAATACTAGTTATTGTGATACGATCATGTGACAAAATCAGTTGGCAAAACCTAGACATTTGATCAAACTTGGTATGTTTTTTTTTTGTTTTGGCTCTCCTGGGTTCTTCCATTGGGATAAATGGACTTTGGATTCGATGTAGTAACCATACACTTATGATTCGTGACCAGTTATGACCCTATTAAGCAAATCTGGGTTACCATTCAACAATTCTGGAGCAATACTCATGCAACAGTATTTTGGTCACAATTCAGCAATTTCGGAATGAACTGCCACATGTTTCATGCCCAAAATATCAGGAAAATTGCATGTATGAGATAACTGATGAGCCGACATCCTCGACAACTTCTCTATTAATGATTTGACGATTCTTCATAACAATTTTAATCACTTTCACAACATTTTCATCATTTGTTGATATTCAGGAGCATCGTCATTTGCATCATCTCAACCTTCTGTGAAAAGCTTGTACCACTTGTAAACATTTTCCTAACCCAGAGTACAGTCACCGTATGCCACTGACAGCCTGTCAAATGTTTTTGAGCACTTAATTTAATTTTTTACACAAAATTTGTTGCAAATTCTTTGATACATTTTTTCGATACCAGAAAATGGCCAAACACGTAAAACACTACTAACTTTCCTCTCACCAACAAACTAAATAAGGTAAACAGCTGACACAGTGAACATTACGAGACGAGAGTACCAACATTGATATAAAGTAAATCGAATGTATGTAGCCCGCGAAATTTGAACATTCACCTTACTTTTTGAACAGACCTCGTATGTCATAGTAGCGAGAGGCAGAAAAATTGTTTCTTTTACAGTGATCTAGAGAAGTAATGTTGGAATATTTCTATTTATCAACTCTCCTTTTGATGGAATTAAATATTTCAAATAAAACATTTGTACAATAACAAAAAAGTCTTGTATGGATGACATCTTTCGAATTCACCTAACATCTTACTAGAAAAGTTGTGATATTCCAAAAATATATGATGAAAACAACATATACTGGTACATACCATCAGCAAAGGGATCCACACGTTCTGGGGAAATAATCATCCTTCTCCTCTTCTGTCGATATTCATCTTCTCTATCTGCAATTGTCGGTTTTCTACGATCTGCAAATGGGTCATATTCTTTCTCGCTCTGAAATAATGGATAGTGAACACAGTACATTTAAAAATAAAATCTGTCTCACCTGAGCAACATCATTTAACAAAGCCACAGGTGCTCCAAGACCAGTTCGTTTTTGGCCATAGCCCATGTCCTCTTCGTCGTCATCTACTTCATCATTAGCAGCAATTGAGGTAACATAGCCCTCATATTTTCCTTTTCCAGTTTCATAAATGTCCATGTCAAAGTACCCACTTTCACCAAGTTTGACTCCTTTATCTGGAAGTTCCTCCTGAACATCTTTCTTCTTGGATTGGATTTCTCGTATTTGTGCTTCAATATCTGAAAATTGATATCAGTAATATTTTTTCAATTGAAAATTTATGTTTTACCTTCATGTGTGCGGGGAATATTTTCCATGATTATCTGTTTAGTAATTTCAATAAACGTACGATGATCAAATGTTAAACTCTCAGACCGAGGATAACTTCAATATTAATTAGGAAATAATTACTATCAGACATCAGACTATCGGTTTATAAGAAAACACAGAATATCGATATTCTCTAAAATAAAGAACAATTCAACTGACAACTGACAAATGATAACTACAGCATAGGTAGAAACATACCTTTTCTCTCTCTCTCTCTTTTTGTCCCTGCTGTCACAGGCACATTTAACCAGCTAGATTCGGACTACATAACTTTACTCCCGCATTCATTTTGACCAAAACGCTCAAGGAGAAAGAAAGAACTCTTATTGATCTTATAGCATTTTTTGGAACTCGAGATGAAAACTGTGGCATTAATTTCGAGATGAAACATTCTATTGGTGAGGTCTCGGTTTCTCCGTATTTTTGGGGTGTGCTCGTATAAGCTGGTTTCGGCTAGCGTTCGGTAATTCAGGGGGTCAATTCTTGCGTTCGTTCCTTATACGTATACGTTTGTGAACGAGTGGTGTGAAACATATAGTTTTATCAATGTCAATTTTCCAGCACATCCACCTGTAATCATACAAAATTTGAGAATTGTTTCTTGAACATGTTGGCATTTGAGCTACTTCTCCAGTTGTAGTATCTGTTCTGATTATTTATGGTTGAATGAGCACACCCTTCGAGCACAACGTTCCGACGAACGTCTACGTTCATTTCGATCTAAGAAAAGATTTAGCAACGCAGTACATTTTATATTCCCTGATAGACTTTGAATAAATCATTGGTTTTCTTGTCAGTGTTGTTCCTGGCTTCACTCCAGTACAACTTATTACTTTTTGCTGTTAAAAATCACTAAGTTACGTTTTTACAACCATTTTGTTACATTTTGAGAAACTTTGAACTGACAGTTTACGAAACAGAACTGATAATTGACATTACAAAACTGATAGGTAACCTATTATAACTGATAGTTAACGTGTCAAAACTGACGATTGTAGAGCATTGCTGCAAGAACTACTACACTCGTACTGAATTTAGTACTTTCAACTCGTTTTTAGTATGCTAGTTTTTTAGAAATTATATTCAATTTGGAAAATTTTTAGTGCATTTATATTTTTAGCATAGATTAAAGTTAATATATAGAGGGGTTGCGAATAGAGTAAACTTTGACGGTGTGGTACCTGAAGAAAGGGGGAAGGTGTGATCGCAAACAAGGTTGGCATCAGTCATATAGTGACAGCAATTTTGACATTATTGATACCGAGTTTGAATTTTAGAATTGAATATTACTTGGGGAGTTTAGTTTATGTTTTGGTTTATGAATTTTCCTAAAGTTTCTTTGGTGAAAGTTTTCATCGTTGTTTTACAGTTCGTCTATTCTCTTTATAGTACAGAATGTATTATAGGTTGTTCACGTTAAGAAGAGAATTACGTCACAAGATGACAAGTTAGGGTGTTGCCAACATGTGCACTATTTTGAACTTTCAAATTTTTTTGTACTGTTGAAATGTTTTATTGCTATTATCCTTACTCACTTTCAGTATTTGTTGAGACTTTCTCGACAATGATTTGGGCATATTGAATATCCGCAGGTCTTATCAAAAGAAATGATCAGTTCTGAAAAGAAAAGAAATACTGACAGTTTTCGAGTTTTTTTCGTTTCGGCAACGTCTGAAATTTTACTATCAGTTGAGCATCTCACAAAATGAAATGTTACTAGTTTCATTGCTGTTGAACCTCAGAGTAATAATAAGACATAGAGTTGCCATACCTGTACGGTGCCTATACTAATACAATACATGTGTTTTGAAAAGGGTATCGTACTATCCTCTTCTGTACAATTTACTGGCATGTAAGATCAAAATTGTGAAATAATCTAATATATGTGATATAAGGAATCTCTCCACATATGTGGAGAATATTTTCGAAAAAAAAATCTATAGAGATATTCAAATATATTTTTTCGAATGTTCAATGTCTGAAAATATAAGCCTACAAATAAATTAAATGTGGAAGGTAGTACTGAAACTAGAAATGATATGATTGTCTCTTTCCTTGCTATATATTCATCAGCAGGATACTTTCTGTGAAAGAGTCTATAGAAAAGAGACAAGTTTTCAACATCCCATTGATATTGTGAACTGAGAAAAAATGAGTAATTCTATTCTAGTTATCTTCATTCTTTTCTCCTCTTTTCGAATTGGCACAATATTCAATGAAATAATTCAGCCTAGTCCAATGGAAAAAGGGATTTGCACGATTAGAAGTATAATAATATCATTTTATACGGGAAAAACGATTATTTGCAGATCAGCAAATTGTTGCTCTTGTAATCTTGTAGGAAGGCTGAACAAAATTTCAGGTCGGGTCTCCCAGATATGAATATCGACCAGATCAATCATTTTCGACAGAAAAAATGCCAACAACCATCCTTCGTGCGCAAAAAAAATTTAGCATTTCTCACAAAATTGAAAGTAAACCTGGCAGGTCGGCAGAGAAACTTTCAGTTCGGGTCTTCCAGATAGGAATCTCGATCAGATTAATAACTTTCGACACAAACATTTCCAACCCCACCCTTCGTGTATGAAAAAAATTCACATTTCTCATTAAATTAAAAATTAACCTTGCAGGTCATCAGAAATTTTCGTAGATCCAGTCTCCTAGATATGAATCTCCACCAGATTATTCATTCTCGATAGAAACATTTCCATCCTCCAATCTTTGTACTTCAAAAAATACACATTTCTCATGAAATTGAAAATAAACTAGGAGAACCGACCAGCAAGTCTGGCGCCTTTCTTCTCTACCGTCTTCAGGCTCCAACACCCGCTTCAGAATCCCGTTTTCCAATTTAAGGGAATTCCATATTGGACCCAGTAGGACTTAACCGCTGGCGAAAAACCTGCTACCTCTTGCCACGATGGTTTTTGACTGATTTTCCTCCATCCGATGATTAAACCAAGATCTGGGTCTTCCTTGATCTTATTGTTCCACCAGTTGTCGTCTACGGCTGTAGTTCTACAAATAGCTGCTTCCTTCTTTTCTGCTCGTCGGCAATGTGAGCAGTCCTCGGGATATGGTCTCTGTGACAGGGCATCTGCGTTTTTAACGGGGGCTTGCTGGATACAGCCTGACGATTGCCCCTTCTCATCGAACCCTGATTTGGTGTTGGTTCGTTAAATGCTTGGAAATTTGCTGCGCACATGCCCACTTTTCTCACAGTTCCAGCATCTTATGTGTTTTGTTTTCTTTCAGGCAACACTCCTTTTACCACCTTTCTAATGGTAGCCTCAATATCAGCAGGCACCTGTCCACCTTTAAACTTTGCTCTGGCTCTTTCAGGATTATTTTGCAGCCTCAAGCTCAAGAGCTCTTACCAGTGCATGGAACGAGCTAGTGTCAAGGCTTGCTTCGTTTTTGGTCGTGAAGTCCGTCCAAGAATGCTTGAACTGCTAACTGCTCATTACATTTTCCGGTGTAGCAGGATATGCCAGACGAACTAATCGAGCAATGTCGACTTCGAATTCCTGTAGGGATTCTCCTGATTTCTGGGAGCGGTTCTTCAGCTGTGAATGGTAAACGTACTCTAGGTGGGCCTGCCCATACCGTAGCTCAAGATGTTTTATAAGTTGGTCATAGTCTTCCTGTTCTTGGGCCGTGAGGGTTTGCAAAATATTCATTGCTTCCCCACGCAACGCCAGTGTTAATGCTACCGTCTTTTTTCCTGCATTCCATTCATTCGCTCTGGCCGCAGCTTCGAATTGTCGGCGGTAATTTGCTCAAAGAGTTTTTCCCTCATTTTTGCCCCGATATCATTTTTGATCTCCCCTTTGATTTCCTCTACTTCCATGTTCATTTCCTTCCTGATTTTATGTATCTCTATCTCGATGGTTCCTATTCTTTCTTCAAGTAGACTCGCCACGCAACAAAATTCTTTCTTCAAGCCTTCCGCATTTTCTAGAAGTTTATCTTCCAAATTCTTCGAATTTTCCAGAAGCTTTTCCTCCAGGCACTTCGAATTTTGTTGAAGTTCATCTTTTAAACTCACCGAATTTTCGCGAAACTTGTCTTCAAAGTCTTCGAATTTTCTTGAAATTTATCTTCCAAACTTTTCGAATTTTCCAGAAGCTTCTCTTCAAGGCTTAGCGAATTATGTTGAAGTCCATCGAGTTGGCTCATTGTTGAACTCAAATCACCCCCAGAAACTTCGAGTAAATATGTTTCGGGATCTTCTCCTGAGCCAGTCAAGTTATCACACAGTCTCTTTTTGGAGTACTGATTTATTTCCAGAACAATATATCTCCCTCTCCTCCAATTCTTGCTTCAATTCAGCGACTTTCAAGTCCGTTAGGCGCACTTTTCTCGAACACATTTTGTCTCTCATTGTCTATTTTCCACAAAACTGTAGATGTCCACTTATTTTAATCGAGTCCGAAAACACTTATTTACTTTCACAAGTCTATTTTTCGCAAGAAAGGTCTAGCAGTTTATATATCCGTAATCCGGTACTGTCCACTTCGCGAGACACAACCAATCACCAGTCTCTCTGCGCGACGCTCATAGATTTATTTTACAAATCCACTTCTGATCACCAATTGTAACAAATTGAAGAATTAAGTATCTTAAAGAAATTTATTTCCGACAATATTTCAGTAATCACAAACTAATATATTTACAACACTTAGCAACTAACGCCTAATTTTTTTCCACTATTTGTATTCGATTCACTTTTTGAACTCCCTCTTGGGTCGGGAAGCCGAGCTTATATAGGCAACGGTTCATTCTAGAAATCTGTAGTCGGTTCGATACTCTACTATAGTTTTACCGGTGGTTGCCGACTGCATTCATTCTGCGGTGATGTCATGTGTTTGTTCGCTGGCCGGCATATCGGTCAGGGGCGGCTTCAGATGCGTTACAAACTCTATCGATGAAGGGTTGGAATTTTTACTATCGGAAATGATTCATTTGGTCCAGTTCCTTATCTGGGAGGCCCAACCTGTTATAATTTCAGCCGTCCTACAAGATTACAAGAGCAAAGTTCACTGAGAACAATTTTCTGACCTGCAGACCTGTCAAATAGTTATAATGGTACATTGTTTACAAATAATGTATTTTCCAACGTCATACGTTCAAACTACTCTATCTCATACAGCT